AGCTTTGTGTGGAATTTGTTAGCATAGAGATAATTAGCGTACGGTCGAGATTCATAAGTCTTAGCGTTATCCGTATAGTTATGTTACTGTTGTCTGCTATGATTGATCTGCACTTTGTATACTGCCCTGCTTTTGGATTTCAAGTTCTGTTCCAGCATGTTAATGAATGTTACGGCATCAACGCTTAACAGTGATAATTTCAAGTGTTGTTTGGTATTGCGTTCAACTTTTAGCTTTTTTCTCTAAGACCTGTTTATCGCAATTGTGTTTTGGCGAAACGTTGCAGCTTTGCATTGTTACGATTAATATCGGTGGTATCATGTATGTTGCAATACAGTGTCAAAATCACAAGGAAGTCATTTGTTCTCTTCCTGCTATTTCTCTTGAAATAAGTTTGTTGGTCAATAACTTTATTTAAATGTTTCAACTTCATTCTAATGGTATTGTTTGTGTTTCATTATAATTAATTTTTGGAGTTTGATATGATGCTACAAGTGAGGTGAATGATCATGTTAGCAACCTGTAGCATGAATAATACCGCACCGTTACAATTGATTTTTCTTTCTTTAGAAGTTTTATTGTTTCAGTTTCAGTTTGTTGATTTGGGACTGGTGTAAAACCGTATGGATAATGATACTAGAACCCATCTATAGAGTGTTATCCAAACATCAGATATGCCCATTATATCACATATTTTGAGATTAAACAAAGTCTGTGTTGTGTTAGGTTTTAGAGATGTTGTTTCGGTATGGAAATTCTGTTTCTTTCTGCAGTATCTTCATCGGTATATTAGCACCATGAGGCCTATACATGACCGATACGCTGTGCTATTTACGGTTGCAATTGTGTGGCTATTTGCACAGCTTTTAACTGCTTCCACTGCATATAACCACAAGTCAGCAAGCACACAGAATAGTTGCCACACTGATCGTGCTGGACTCGTTACTTCCGCGAAATGGTAAGAATAATTCCAGGCTGGTTTCGTCAATTAGTTCTGATCATTTACATAACATGGCTAAGCAAATTGCTACAAGGTGTATCTTCCTTACCCTTTTCAATGGGGGCCTCCTACATTCAATGTTCTGGAAGCATTTCCTATGATGGCTGCTTCTATAGTTTCTCTTTTTGAGGTATCCATTAATTCCTTAACACACAAGTAATAAGAATCTCGTGCCACTCGTCATTGCAATTTCGCTTGTTAATCACTGGTTTGAAATTTGTTTTACTTACAGTTTTCTGGTACATCCTATGCTGCTGCAAGAGTAGGAAGCTGGTGACCTTCTATTTTGTATATTAGCTATTAACTGTATTATGTTATTCCCTGAATTCCTCACATCTTCTCTTTTCATAGCATTCACTCTGATTTTTTAAAACATCTTTTACAGGAGATACATTGCAATGGTAAAGATGTGTCGAGTTGTTTCTTGCACGGATCAGCTAATTGTTTTATTGCTCCCGCTCTCTGAGCATGTGCTAAATATCCTGGAATTGTTGCAGTCATGAACAAGGTACACAAATACATTTTGACATATATTTTTATAATAATGACAGTATGGTGCATATCCTGACAAATGTTTGGTTTGCATCTTATAGCATCGTTGGCGTGTGGGGATCATGACTGAGATGGCTCCCATTGGTTATGTTGGTGTGAGCCCAAAATGCATTCTTGGTTTTAACAAGGTATTGAAATCTTCAAGATGAGGAAGCATGGTATCGTAAGTATCCAGTTTTATTCTCTTGTTATTTTCTCATATTTTCATTCTTATTTACAGAATCATGGAGAGGAAATATCGTTGTGACTTTGAACTGATGACCTCAAAGGTTTTAGGAAATACGAAAGCATCAAGAAAACTCTACTGCATGAACTTGTAAGCTATATCATGCACCACAAGCATCATGTGTTTTTTTCCTTGATCCTAAGCATTTTAAATAACAGAAATAATATAAGGTGCATTTGTCTATTTGTGACTTGAAATTTATTAAACTAACTCGTGTTTCATTTCAGGCTCACATGATATACTCTGAACATGATGCAAACTTTTATGCTCTGGATAAGCAGGTGCGTGCACTCTCTTGAGTGTTTGGCTATCAGTCTATTATTCATTTTGATTTATTGCCTTGACGATTTTTTTTTTCTTTGCAGTTAAATCAAGAAGCTGCTAGTTTATATTGGACCAGATCTGCAGGCCACACTTTGAGTGGAGTGAGGAGTTCTGAAATCTATGAAGATGATTTTATGGCTGAGGACAGTAACAATATTCCTCAGAAGCTTGGTGGTAATAGGTCAGACCAGCTAATGAGTACTCGTGAATCTTCAGTTACTGCTGCTTACTATAGGATGGCTAGTGTTATCTCTAACAAGCTGGGAGAGTCCGAAGTAAATCAAGAGTCGGACCGTGATCATTCCAATGCTAACATCAGAGAAAACCCTGATCATATGGAATCGTCCTCCGAAGAAATTAAAAATACTGACACACCCATCATTATTGACGAAGGACTTAATGAGCCCGACCCCAATGATCAAATTAAAAATGGAATGAAACATGAACCTGATCCTGATGATTCTTATCATGGTAAAGCTATTATTTTTTACGTTTGTCCCGAAACTACTGATAGCAGGACTGTATTTGACCAAAAGCCTATTGTTTTATTGGTGTAGTAGAACATTTGCATTCTCAGACAGGTACAGTGAATATGTATGAAACTTATCCTGATGCAAATGATTCAGAAACATCGTTAAAGTCTATTGCTCCATCCATTGGTAAGTATTCTCTAACAATAGGTTGTAATTGTTTTATGTGCTAAATTTCCTGGATTAACTCCATGTAAGTTGTAATTGTCTCACAGAATTGAATCTTCACCCCCACTGAAACATCATCTACAAACAAATTCTCGATTCCCTAATATGCTGCATCATTCTGCAGGTGTTTGACAACCCTAGATCTCGTGGCTTGATATTTATTGAATTCGTCGTCAACGGTAACAAACCGTCCTTAGCCGTAAATATGTCTCGACATCACTGAGCTTCATACGTCTCTGGTGAGCACAGGTACTACTGAAGGTTCTGGTTAAGCTACAAATTCAACTTATAATGTACTATAATGGTGTAAGATTGAACCATGCTTGCTCGTTATTACCGAGATCTTTTATTTCCGACACCAATGCACTTAATCTTTATATCTTGAGAGAACTTTATGACACTATTCTGAACCCATATATTAGCTGATCAAATATCATTGGCAATTGATTTAATGCCCTCGTTCTCCTCATCGATGACAGCTTCAAATTCGGGACCTCGTAGGGCCTGGACTGAGGATGCTCATTCTTTCAATTTTACAATTTGACTTTAGCCTTGGTTAGGCCTAAGTTAAATATTTTGTTGACTTATGAAGTTTGACTTTAGCCTTGAATAAGCCGAGGCTAAATATTTTATTGATTTATAAAGTTTGAACTTAGCCTCGAATAAACCGAGGCAAAATTCTCCTTTAGCCTCGACCAGGCGCAAGGCTAAATATTATGTTGAATTATGGAATTTGACTTTAGCCTCGGTCCGGCCCAGGCTAGTTTTTGTTTTTTGACACGGCTTAACCGAGGCTAATGTAGACACGGCTAAACCGAGGCTAATGTAGACACGGCTAGACCGAGGCTACTGTAGACACGACTCTTTTTGGCCGAAGCTAAATGTTAGCTTCGATCGTTTTAGCCTATCCCCGACACCGACGCTACGCCGAGGCTAATTGGCTAGTAGCGGCGGTTTTTTGCCTTATAGTGTCGGAAAATGGCCGAGGCTAAATACAACATTTCTAGTAGTGTCAATCAATGACTTCAATGTGGATTTCTGCAAGTTTACGGCTTGCATTATTGGAGAAGGACATAGCACAGCGTTTTGGCAATCTAATTGGATTAGAGATCTTCCACTTAAAAATAGATTCCAACGGCTTTTTCAGTGCTGTACTAGGAAAGTTTCGACCGCCAATGAAATGGAAAATTGGAAGGATGGTCAGTGGTTTTGGAAAGTTAGAGAAACTTTGATAAACGAGGGACCCAATTTTGAAACAGAATGGTCTGAATGCAGTTCACTGCTGGAGCAGGTGGCAACAAAAATCAATGTTGAAGATAATTGGAATTGGCTTCTTCACGACTCTCTTTCGTATAAGGTAAGCTCCCTCCGTAATGCTTTATCCTCTTCTGATCCTGCTCTCAATATTGGTAGAGATAGCGCAAATCTTCTAGAGATCCTTTGGAATACGGTTTTACCGGCAAAAGTCCAAACTTTCATCTGGAGGTTGGCGCTCGATAGGCTGCCTACCAGATCTAATTTGATGAGAAGAAGGGTTATCGATTTTTCCCAAAATCCGGATTGTGTTTTCTATTCGTCAAGCCACGAGGACGTCCCACATCTCTTCTTCTCGTGCTCTAAATCTTCGTTGGTGTGGGATAGGATTTACGATTGGGTAGATATAGAGAACATATCGGAGGATTGTTGCAGTACCCATGCGAAGGTCTGGAAATCGAGACTTCTGGGCCGTTGCAAAGAAGACAAGATCAACTCAATTTGGTTCATCTCTTGTTGGAGTATATGGAGGGCAAGAAATAACACCTTTTTCAGAAATGAAACCTTTGACGTCGACGACATTGTTACGGATATTAAAGTTATCTCGTGGAATTGGTTGATTTTAGGTAGACAGGATAGTAATCATTGTAGCTTGTATGAATGGTTTAAATTTCCGTTCGATTTTATGTAATAGTCCTATTTTAGGCAGTGGTTGTTCTCTTGACTGTTCTGAGATTTTCTTAATCTCCATTAATATATCTTTACTTATAAAAAAAAAAAAAACAAACATATGCAAACACATAAATAACATGGATCAACTCTGGATTATACATATTGAAAATAACCAAAAACGAAAATATGGTTTACTTATGATTCACAACAACACACTCATTATTAAGTGAACTATATTGACAGGGTGTAGATTGAATTAGAATTACTTAATCACTCAATCTTGCTTCCTCAACTGGTTGTAAAACCTTTTTATGAAATCTTCCGCAGCCTTATCAACCTGGTTGTCCTTCTCATCATCATCATCATCTCTTAAAGGAAATGGAGAGTCAGTCACCCTCAATTGCCTCGCTGTTGGACTACGCTCGAATCTGGACAATGCTGGAGATGCTTCTACAATCGCTTGATCATTGTTAAGCATATCCATTATTGTCTCCATTGCGCTCATAGTCATCGCCTCATCATCAGGTTTAGGTGGCACCCTAGTGAAAGTGAAGGAGTTGTGGGAGTGGCGGCTTGAGGTGGAGCCTTTGTGGTGATGATGGAACATTAGATTGGCTATGGCTTTTCCGGCAAGCTTGCGGCGGCGTTTGAGCATCATGTTTATATCCGTCATTAATTTTCCCTTTGATAATTTTTTTCTCAACATGAAGAAGGCCACACGGACCATATTCCACACTCTCTTTGATATTATTGGTATGTTGCTTTCCATTATTTAATTTTTAAAGAAGTTTTTTTTTTTTGAAATAGTTTTGAGGGAGTGATTTTAAGAAAGTGAGAAGAAGAAATGGATTTGATTTGAGGACAAGAGGGAGAAAGGCGATGAAGATATATATAACGAGAAATGAGTATTGACTCAACATTATTTGGAGAAAAGATAGAAGTGCTTTACTCATTCGGTATCTTAGCAATGGTGGTTATCCAGATGGGTCAATTTATCTTACTAGACTAAACATTATTTTAAATACAAACACTTGATATTGTTTAGTTGCCTGATACGAGCACTTTTTCTTTTAATGTAACCTGAAAACTTATTTGTTAGCTTAATTTACAAAAAGGCTAATTTTACAACCATGTTTTCTAAACAAGTGACAGAGCTAGCATTCACAGATAATGTGACAATTATAAAATATAGCCATATCTCTTTGAGAATCGAATCTAAATTATTCATATCCATTTTATTAAATATATTTTCTCATAATTGCTTTAGATTCTAGGTTAGCTCTTGGTTAAGAATGTCTGTCTAATCAGTGGAAAACACGTGATATTGATCCTACTATAACTTAGCTATCACTTAAGTGTGGAAAACACAATAATTTGCCACGCACACTTACCCCTTCTATTTCTCTTTGACTTTTTAATCACTTTTTTTCGTACAATTATATGGTTCTATCTGAACTTTGGATAACGATGCCTATTCTGGATAAACTTCACTTTGCAGTACAAAAACTATCCATCATAGTAACAGCTCTCAACAAAGGTCTCAGAAAAAAAAGTGTGTACGGTATACATTGCATCTATAATCTATAATGCTATCCATTTTTTTTCCCCATCTTTTCTTTAGATAGGGTTCGTTCAATGATGTCTAAATAAAATTTTAGACGAGCCCCTTTTAAAATTAACTTTCTCTCTTCAAAAAATTTATTTTTTTATTTTTTTAATTATTAGATGAAGCACATGAGATATACACTATGTTCGATAGAGCTTTTAAAATTGTTAGATATATAGTCTTTGGGACTTCTGCAAAACTAAGAATTAATGGAGATGAAAATAGAGAAATAAATTTTCTTGATAAACTTTCAAAACATATGTTTCCACACTAAACTTAAGGAACAATTCGTCCCCACCAATCTTGGTATATTGGATGCAAACGGGTTTACCGGAGAATTTCCTACAGGATATTTTGGAATCCTTAAAGAGAATTGCACAATCTCTCTAAACGTATCTTTGATAGTATTTTACAGAAAAATAATTCTTTTACTTGCTCTAATGCATTAGAGAAGAAAAAGATAATTTAGAATGAGAAAATAGTTTGAGACAAATTGTAATTTTTGTGTTTTATGTGTCAAGAAACATTCAATCTATAATGATGCTACCTTATGTTTGGGAATAGATGTATCCCTCAAAATATTGTATTGTACCATTTTGGGTTACACGGAACAGTAACAATGCTTTGCTAAAAACCAACAATATATTGCTTATAAGTTGCAATCGTTACTAATTAAATACTAACTAATGACATGACATACTCTACCAATAATATTCAGCACGTAGCATTTAAATTAGAGATGAAAAAGTCCAAATATAATATTTATATTATTAATTCAAATAATACAATCATTCTATTTAATGTTATTTTAGAAATTCTTTTACAAAAATCACTTTTATTTATCTTTTAAAATGCTTTAAAGCATTCTTGAAAGATGATGCTCTAAAAGGTTGACCAGGGATCAAGTGCGTTTTCAAAAGAGTTATAGTAAGTAAAAAAAACAGAGTTCTCTTTTGAAAATATTCATAAAACAATAATATTGCATTTAAAAAAATATTTTTAATAGCTACACATTTATCGTATAAACTAAATTATATAACATAACATTCATAATATGATTGATGAAAGACATATATATTACAAATCATTAAGCAACAAAAAAAATGTAGCTATATTTAAATAACAACTTGTTGACAAATATTTAGTGTTCCATATCTTCAATTAATACTTCATTTTCTACTGTGTTTTTCAATGCTCTTTTAACACATTTAATGATATTTTTAGTTAAAACTCAACTTTTATTTTTGCTGCATATCGATTTAGGTGCTTTTTAACTTCAATTCTTCCATCTCAAGTGACTATAGGACTATCCACCAACGTAAATAACCAAAACCAAATAATAATATCAAACAAGTGTTTTCGACAACTAGTGTTTTTTGACTTGGTACGTTTTCGAGTCTTCAGATAGGGTAAATAGAAGATGAAAGTCTATGCAGCAGTCGAGTGTTTAGAAACTAGACCTTTTTAGCAGTTGAGAATGCACTAGTATATAAGTACAATTCGAGTATGTAATGGGGGTTTGCATTTCATTCGGCTTTGATTAAAATTCACAACTCTGATTCACATAGATAATGAATTTGTGAGAAATGTAGGAATTTGTGTTCTCCTCTTAATTTAAGCATATTTTTATTCAATCGCTTTATTATTATAGATTCATTTATTTGTTTTATTTATTTAAGTACTTTTGCACACTTCTTTGAATCATTACATTAAAAAATATTTTAGCACTAATACATTTTTTCAAACGTTTAACACGAAGTGTCATTTATAATTTTTCAAGTTTGGTCTTATAAATAAATTAAAATTCGTGATTGTTTATTAAAAATACCAATAAACATTAGATTGATAAAAGAATTTCGTCCCGGTTGGCGAGATAAATAAACGTGTCATGGAAAATAAGTTAGATTTCTCCTCGGTTGTTTAGCTAACTGAGATGAAATTTTGGAATCGTCATGGGTCGATCTCCAAAAACATATTTTTTTCAAGTGTGCTCCACTTTTTTTCTTGGTTAGATTTTTAAAATTTAGGAAATAGATTTTGTATTTTTATCTCAAGTTTACGTTTCAAAAAATGATAAAATCCTTGTTTATTAATTTTTTTAAAATTATAAATTTATATAGTACCTTGTAAGTTTTTAAAAACATAATCAAACATAAATTATTTTGAAATAGAACATAATGGATTTTTTTTAAGAACATAATAGACCCTGGCGTAATAGAATAGAACTTGACAATTGAATTGATGCTATTAATTTTTTTAAAAATTTTATGTAAACTACTACGGATAAATATCCGCAGGTAATGTCAGATCTACAAGAAAATCTGCAGATAGGATAAAAAAAATAAAAAAAATACTGAACTTCAATTCCAATTCCAACGTAGAGATACAATACACAAAATTAATATATCCATTCCTTGGCATATGTTACTGTGGATCATCCATCTATTTGCTTTTCTATTATTACTATATCAATTAAAAATAATTATCTTGCCAATAGAAGGCTTTGTTGTGAGTCTATTACAATTCAACTTTCAGATTTGTTTTATTACAACATATATACGATTCAACGTATTCACGTGAATATCATGTCACTACAAGAAAAATGTTCTACCGTGACACTCTTATTGAGTGATGTTTTATTTTCTGTCACTAAATACTACTTTTATCTACATTATCTAATCTGTCATTAGATCCCCATACATAATCGAAAACTAATTTTTTATATCCTAAACAAATAATTTTGTTATAAAATTAAAAAAAAAATATTTTTACTAAAAAAACTCCAAAAAAAAAAAAATTTAATAACAAAAAAAATCATAACTTAATTTGAATTAGAAAATCTAATTTTGTATTTACTCACTATTTTGTTTTTCCTCTTTCTCACTCATCGTCCTTACTGTTTCCATCTCTCCACCTGCCTGGTGGTTTCAGTCTCGATTCGATGCCGCAGTTTCCGTTCTCGATTCTCTATCAATATTCTTGATCTCAATTTCCATCGTTGTTCGCGTTCTCGATTTTCCATTATCATTCCTGTTTTCGGTCCTAAAGCACCACCTTCAGTCATATCGATATAGGGTTAAGTATTTATGTATGTTTTGTATATTATTTTTCATATGCATTTGACTTCACTAACGTTAAGCTAGGGTTTAGAGTTTGTGTATTTTGTTTATGATTTTTCTTTTGAATTAACATTTAGTGATATGATTTAAGATTTAGGGTGTGTTTGGTTCAGGATAGATGGAGGGAAGGGGAGGAGAAATTTTTAATTAAATATGTTTGGTTTAAATCTGAGGAAGGGAGGGGAGGGGAGCAAAATGCCTCCAAAACACATTTTTTGGTTCCCTCCGAATTGGGGAGATTTGGAGGGGAGGGGAGAGAATATCAGTTTTGATATTTAAAAATTATTATATTTACTAAAATATCCTCGGTTTAATTTCAGTATTTCAAAATTATTCGTTTTTTTTTCCGTGTTAATGTTTTTCCTCGATTGTTTCCATCAATTTATTATAATTGTTCTCCACCTTCAAATTATTTTATAATTTCTATACTTAAGATAAATCATAATCATTGTCTTTCTTTATAAAAAAAAATTATGTTTAGTTATATTCGTTTTTTTCTTTTAATTTTGTTATGTATTCTATCATATTTTTTTTATATCAAATTGTAAACCATTCATTTTATTTATTTATTTTTTATTCATTTTATTAAATATTTTGAACCATTAATATTTAATTATAAGTTATTTTATATATATTTTTTGTTATATGATTCATCACAATTTAAACGATGTTATTAGCATATAGTTTAATTTAGGTTGAAAAGTTATAAGTCGAATCAATTATACTCAGTTTTTTAATTTTATGTGACAAATAAATACTTTTTTAATCACTAAATATTAGAAATTTTATTACCAATAAAAACACGCATGAAATTTTCAAATTTTAATATCATATGACTTATATAAGATCATAAGCATAAAAATGTAAATTATTAATAAAATCTCTTCCCTCCCCTTCTGAACCAAATACATTTTTAATTAAAATCTCTCCCTTTCTCTCTCCTCCTCTCTTTTGAACCAAACACTTATCTGATTAAAAAAATCTTTCACCTCTCCTCCCCTTCTCCTCATTTGAACCAAACAGACCCTAAGATTCTCGTGATTC